TTACAGATGAGAAAACTGGTGCCTAGGAGAGACCCTAGATCTCCATATGTCTAGTCAATTATTCACGCTTGTATTTGAATTCAATTGAATTCAAATCTTGCTGGATATTGTATTTTGTTCAGCCCATTTACATCCCCTGTGGTAGATAGGTAGTAGAATCTACTCAGTAAGATGAGACTGGAAATTGCAGTGCAGAGCTTATAAGACAGCATCATCAAAAGGGTTTGCCTCTTCTGGTATGGACATCATTTCTGCTGATCTGTTCTACTTTGATGAATAAATAAGCTGTGATGGCCGGAGCTCCAGCAACTATAATATCGGTATAATCCCATTGCCAGACTATGAGCATGGTAAACCAGGCATCTCAAAGAAGCAAGAGCCTTGAAGAAGTTGTGAGATTGACTGCTCAGTTCTGCAAGAGCAAATACTATCCTCATCTTATTGAAGTTAGGGTGGCTTTTCTTATTTAACAACTACACTTACCCCCAGTATTGAAGATGTGGGACATGCTCTTTTTATAATGTTTTAGCATCATGCTTTACCTAAAATTGAAACTGTAGTTAATTGTAGAAATAATAAAATAACTTCACAGATCCAAGAATGTCCATTCTCCTTTCAAGTGTGTACTCCAATACAAAACAGAAACAATTTTTGTCTTAAGATCTGTGAACTTGTATCTTTAAGGTTAACTCCCTTTCCCTTCTCTGCCTCTGAGAACCAGTGTCCCTTGCTTTTGTTTAGACTCTGCGGCACTAAGACATTTACAATGCTCTGATATTCAGATCCCATGCACTAAATCAGGCTGTCTTCACATGGCATCTGTTTAAGAAGTCCTTGGGAGGTTGATGAGACTAGAACATCATTAGGTTCTCACACTGATTGTAGGGCTTCTACAGGAGTCATTTTGTGGCAGGATTCAGGAATTTGCATTTTTGCCTAGTGGTTCCAGTGATTAGGCAAGGGACTCACAGCCTGGCCTCTGGGAAACCCTTCAGAACCTTTCTGCTTAACGAGCACCTTGTGCTGTGTTATCTGACCCATGGTCCCAAAATGCAGACAGGAATGAGCTTTGGGTGCCTTTAACAGTCAGAGAAGCAGTGAGCAAGCATATGCTGTGGTTTAAATATGGAGGTATTATTAAAATTTCCTTTCATGTAAGTCCCACTGTGGCATAAACACCAAAGGCGATTTCTGAAAAGTGGTGGCAAGGTAATCTGGCTTTTTCTTTTTTCACTGTGGAAGAGCCCTTGTATTGAATTTGCACTCATTGGCATGGCTGGCACGAACTACACCAGATGGACAGGTAAGTTTCCTGCTCTTGTTGCGTTCCGAGCAGCCTCTTCTCTTCTCAATTATTAAAGATTAATTTTATTTTCTTGCAGACTATTTGCAGAGAATTGCCCATACCATCTCTCAAAGGACGTAATTTAAAACTTTAAAAAGTCAGAAATTTAATAAGGGTTTGGAAGTGTTGCCAACGAATGATTTCCTCCCGATTTTGCATGTTAAAGGCATCGAGAAGAGAAATGCAGTGGACCAGGCCAGGAATGGAGACATGGGTGCGTCTCTATCTGCAAAGTGGCAGCAGAGGCCATCTCTCCTTCCACGTGAGCTGTGGCCCTGAAATGTGTGCAAGACTACTGAAAGTTCAAACAACCAATGCACGGGACACAGGGCTAGGCACCCAACAAAAGCTGCAATTTCATCTGGCTACTCAATGATCCTCTATGAGGGTTTGGCACGTCTTTAATTTTATTCAGTTTTTTTTTTTGTTGTTGTTGCCTACAGGTGAAGTTAAGTCAGACTGCTTTCTTTGCTAATGAGGCTGCTGCTGCTTCTGTTACCATGCAACTGTAATTCTGTCTTCCCACACAGGTATTTAACTATTCTCTCCATAGAACGATAGTAGTTCAGGTGTTTTGTCCACCTCAGCTTTAAATGGACCCTGTCCCTCTTGCTATGTGAAGCCACCATCTTGAACCTGAGACACAGCTGTATAGTCTTTCTTTTTGTTCTGGCTAACTTAGGGGTTAGCCTCAAATATCTTCAGTAACCATTCATAGTAAAGAACAATGCACCACAACAAGTCCTGCTTGGGAACTCTGGGGATATGGTGGCAGGAAGGGGAAAGGTGACTTTAGAATAATTTGACTGCCAAGTTTCCTTGTGAAATATGTTGTGAGCATACTTTAAAAGATATTCTCTTGTCCTTGAAGGGTTGATCTGGAGAGGTGTGTACGTATCTGGTCTGTGAACCTGTCATGGTAGCTACACCCCAAGGCACATTGCTTCTCCTTGGACAGGGCCATCCTAAGAGCCAACAATTTAGGAGTGGACTCCCGGGAAGTACTCTGGGAATGTGTGTCTCAATACTAAGTAGCATTAGTTTTCCTGTTTGCATTATTGTGGCTGCTTATTCCTGTGTCCCCAGCCCAGAAATCTGTCTTTCTCTCTTCAGAGGAAAGTCTTCCAGAGCAAGCCAAGCATGGTCAGACAGCTTCATAAAGTTGTGGATGATAAAGAAATCTGTCTCTTAAAAATGACTCCTGTTGCTTTTCTCATTGCCCCCTGCTTCCTGCTCCCCCATTCTTCCTGAGAAACTTGATTTACCAGATTGTGGTCTTCGTCACATTTGCCAGGTAGCTCCTCAGCTTTCCCTCCTGCTGGCTTAGAGTGCAGCTCTTTTTACAGTTGCCAAGTCATTCACCATTCATCCAGTGGCTTTCTGGCTTTTCAAACTGTGTTTGCTTATTTCCAACACTTTCCGTCTATAGGAGTTTATGCTTTGAAAAAATAGAGTGTAATGAGCCTTAAAAAAAAAAAAAAGCCCAATGTGCTATCATTTACCACTTGTATTTGAAAAAAAAAAAAAACAGTTTCTAGATTAAAATAATGTAATTTCTAACTTCAATATAGCAGGATGTCCAGTTTCTTTAGATATTCGTTTTCCTGAATTGTGCAGTGACTTTGGGGGACTACCTAGATTAAGGAGCAGTAGGTCTTGTTTATATTGCCTCCTCAGAGAGAAGGAGAATTGCTTAGGTTTCTAATGGAACTCATTTTCCCAGGGTCATAGTCCCCATACCTGCAGTACATTGCTATTCTTTTAGGTTGGCTTGGCAATGGTCACTACTGCATGAATGCCTTTGCTTCATGAACCCTCCCTAGTACAGGTATTTCAGAGGGATTACTAATACAAGAACTGCAATGTTTAACACACTGTCCGACATGCTTGAGGAATAGAGGTCAGAGAAACAGTCTCTGACCCTCAGGGCTTGCTACTAGCTCTGGGATTCTGAAATTCGCAGTCACTACAGAAAACGCCATGATGGAGGTTAATCTCACTCTTCTACCAAGGACAGTTTACATCATGTCTGGGAGTTGCATCTTTTATTTCATACTCACAAGCAGCTAGTTTCTCCAAAGGGGCACCTAGTTGACAAGACTGGGCTTCCAATTCAAGTTGCCTATTATGCTAGAAGCAAGCTTTACCCATATCATTTTGGGTTCCAGTTGTTATAACCCAAACTCCCAACACAGACCTGCTGGCTGTAAAAAAAATTAAAATCTTCTAGGATCCTAGCATCTTTTCCTGCCTGGGTACCATCTTGGTACTCCCACTTGGCAGTTTCTTTCTTCCCCCTTTCCCCAATGATTAGTGCTCACTTAGGATCTGAAAGGTGAAAGCACAGGAGTCCATTGTTGTATCTCCAAGTGCTTGCCTGGCACAGTGATCAAATATGTGGCCTTCATCTGAAGAAAGATTTCACAAGGCTTCAAGGCACTGTTGGGATACTAACTCACCTCTGTGCTTGAGGCAGCTGTGATTGCCTAGAGCATTTTCTGTGGTGACTGTGAATTTCAGAATCTCAGAGCTAGTAGCAAACCCTGAGGGCCAGAGGCTGTTTCTCTGACCTCTATTCCTCAAGCATGTCGGACAGTGTGTTAAACATTGCATTTCTTGTGTTAGTAATCCCTCTGAAATACCAAAGTGAACAAATTCAAATCTTGGGTATGTATCTACTGATTCACGAGACCATCTTATCCACTACTGGGACTTTAACAGACACCTTTGCCAAGTTCTAAGTACCGATCCCGTTACTCATTTTTGTCAGGGCTTATGGGCTTGGATGCCTGTACTGACAGTGTGGTTTTGAATAGGACGCTTCTGGCTGTGAGTTGCAACTTAACTTCTACTAAACTAGGCATACTGCTTCATATAAAATGCTGGAGTAATCCAAAAGCCAAATGGAAATTACTGGAGACTGCTTTTATTATCCAAAGGAATCGGGGAATATGATTAAAGTCAATTTCTGAAAGTAAATGAATAGAAGAAAGCATTTTGTACTTTATCAGACATTAAATTTATATTAATGGGCACCATTTAAATGGTCGTGCTACCAGAGCTGTATTTCCAGGATCCCAGCCTATCTAATTTAAATTTATTATTGACCATACTGTCACCATGTGAAAAATGAGAAAACATTTTTTTTGCTCTCCTTTATGGCAAAGAACCTTGATTGGATTTCTGGATTTGTTGCAGAAAATTCTCCTTCACATTAAACATGCTAACAAATTTCTTAGGGGCCCAGTCATTACTTTCAGTTCTGAAAATTTCTGTCTTATAGCAAATTTAGGCTAAAAACTTATGAAAGTAAAAATTATGTAATAATACAGATAACCTTGTCACATCAGTTTTTTCTGACATATGGATTAATTAATAAATTCAGTTTACAGTGAGTTGGTACCAATGTTGCATAATATAAGATTTCAGGGTCAGTGTGCTATAATACAGGCAAAGATTCTTTGGTTCCTAATGGTTAGTGAACTCCAAAGTAACCCTTGTACTGACCCAAATAGATTCTTTATTGACATCTTTAAAAGCCAGTGTTGTAGAGGCCCCTACAAAGAAAGGCTGGATTGAACTCAATAAAAAGGTTGGAAGATGTTTTTTACTGGTTATTTGTTTTCAACTTGACACAAGGTAGAGTCATCTGAGAAGAGGGAACCTCAATTGAAAAAAGAAAAAGTTTCCATACGATCAGCCTGCAGGCAAGCCTGTGGAGAATTCTCTTGACTGACGATTGATGTGGAAGACCTGATCCCCCTGTGGGTTGTGCCACTCCTGGGTTAATGGTCCTGAGGCGCAGAAGAAAGTAAACTGAACAAGCCAGAAGTATTAAGCAAGTAGACAGCATTCTTCCCTGCTCCCTGTCTCAGTTCCTGCCCCGCAGGTCCTGCCTAGGCTTCCCTCAGTGATGGACTATCGTCTGGAAGTGTAAGTTGGTGTAAATCCTTTGTTCTCCAAGTTGCTATTCGTTATAATGTTTGATCACAGCAATAGAAACCTGAACTATGAAAACATTTATGTAATTAGTTGTAAAGTAAAGGAAGCCTAACTTGAGAGGAGAAGAAGAACGGATGTCTCTGGGGACCCAAGGTTTTTTTTTTTTCTTTTGAGAGAGAGAGAGAGAGAGAGAGAGAGAGAGAGAGAGAGAGTCACAGTGATCTATAGCTTAATCTTTGTGTTGGGAAAGCAAAATGTAATCATTGCTGTGTCTTACCAAATTTTTGACAGAGGAGGCAAAAGCATGCAGCATAAGAAAGAGGGGGAGAGAGGATCATAGGAGCCAGTGCGGTCCAGGGCACAAGAAAACCCACGGAACCAACTAACCTGGGCTCATAGGGGTTCGCAGAGACTGACCAGGGAGCCTACTTGCTGCTCCAGTACCCCTGGACCACTTGTCTCTTCAAGCGTAGCTTCTCTTTTATTACAATTTCAAAGAAACATCCCAGGTCTCAGATAAGCTCATACTGCAAGTGAGACACCTACTTAAATTCTTCCCCTTAAGTCTCTGGATTATACCAAATGCAGGAATGCGGCTAAACCTCTGCGGAAACCCACTGACAAGGGTTGTCTCAGATCACAGAGGCGACGAAAGGGGGCAGTGTTGCCTAGACTCACATTCTGTACCAACCCCCTTAAGAACAGTAGCACCAAACCTTTTGCTGAAAATTCAGGTAAAATAGAAATCTAAGCAAAATGCTAAAATATGCAGAGGTGTTGTTTCTTGAACACCTTCTACCTCCTGACTAATTTATAAATTGCTTTATTTAATGTTCATATGTCCCAGATAAGACACGGAAATTCCGGTGTTCAATCGAATTTAGACATTGCTGTGAATCTTCACAATTCCACGACTGTGGATTGTGTGGTTCCTGTTAAATGGCCTTTGTTTCCTCTATCTGAGGTCTCCAGAATTTTACATGCTGACTCTGCACTAATCAAATTAGTTTGTCCTTGTTTAGAAATAAATTTGCATAAGAAATCTATGGCTTTCATAAAACTCCTTTAGGCAATTTACACAAAGGGATTAAATTATGGTTACTGGAAATTTTGAAGAGCGCTCCCCTAACCCCCGAGAAACCACAAGTTACCAGGGAAAGTGGGGTCCTCTCGGGGTTCTTCGTCATTAATAAAACTATTTAAGAACAGACTCGCAGCCGGGCGTTGGTGGTGCACGCCTTTAATCCCAGCACTCGGGAGGCAGAGGCAGGCGGATCTATGTGAGTTCGAGACCAGCCTGGTCTACAAGAGCTAGTTCCAGGACAGTCTCCAAAGCCACAGAGAAACCCTGTCTCGGAAAAAAAAAACCAAAAAAAAGGAAAGTTGAGGGCAATTTTGTTAGAGTTTAAAAGGGTGAGCAATCTGTAATTCTTGGAGGCTTCCCATAAAAGGAAGATTAAAAAAAAAAAAATCAACAGAAAAGACCACATGAGGACAACAAGCTTCCAGGCAGGCCCAAAGCTTTCAGAGAAAAGAGGGGAAGGCCGGAAGTACCAGAGGAAGCATACTTGGTTTCTGGCAGCATCTAAAAGGAAAAGGAAACATTCTGCATTTCTGAGTCAGGATTCAGAAAGGAGGATGACTCAACAGAGCCTCATGCAGCTCTGTAGCAACACCCACAGGGAGCGGGCATTCTGGGAAGGAAAGTGCATGATCTCATTATGGGGTTATTATTCCTCCTACCTCTTTAGCATGGCGGATGGTGAGTCGGCCTTCCTGAGGAGTAGTCCCTTATCCTAGTGGTAGACCTGCCCAACTGGAATATTAGGGTTCTACCCTTGACCTTTAGAGCTACTGTAGTGTTTTCTTTTCCCCTCCATTCTGGGCTCCTTAGTCCTGATTTTTGCCTCCATGACCGAATAATTGAATTCCTTCTTTGGTTTCTCAAAATAGTCTCGATTGTATCTGTGGCTTGTGCTTCTTTGTCACTTAAATTACTTAATCTTAAAGACTGGGAGAAAGGCTTCCAAAAGTTCAACCTTGGTAGGACAGTTTTGTATGTGTGAAGTCTTTGCCAATTGAGTGTTTATAATTCAGGAACTTTGAGCATATGCAAAAAGGCTCTTGTACTAATCAGAATTTCATAGGGTTGTTCTCTGCAGTTACATGTGGAGTGGGTTAATTATGAACCAGAGCTTGGAAAAGTTTAGCACACTGAGAAGATATCAGAAATATCTCAAATGAATATTAATGTTTTGAAATGTCTATGTAATTGAAATCAATTTAGATGTAAAAGAATGTGAGGACGGGAATGCAATGGCAGAGTCCCACAGATAAATATGTCAAAACACATCAGAATTTCTGAGCCTATGGTGGAACCTGCATTGCAAGCAAGCTGCTAGGTAGGTATATCAGGCTTCATTTTGTTGTTGTTGCTGTTCTTTCAATTTTTCTTTTTTTTTTTTTTGAGTTTTCTTATTTGCATCTCTAATGAGATAATTTGGGGTCTGGAGCTGCTGATTTTTCGTGGAAACAATACCTTCATTTTTAGCTTCATTTAACATTGACTGACGTACAGTCAGGCCCTGGTTTTGGCTTGACAGACCATAGATAAACTTTAAGTTTTAAGTAAGTAATTTCAAATCTACATCAGTCAGGTGGATACTGCATGCGGTCTCTTATATGGAGTGTCTAACTAACATAGAGGAGGATAGTAGGACAGGTTGAAAGGTCCTGGAGAGAGGAGAAATAAGGAGATATTCTTCAGCAGATCTAAAGCTTGGTTCAATGCCTACAGGCAATCACATTTGCTGTGCACTTGAAGATTACGTTCAAGTGTAGATACCACTTTAAGCATTCCTACCAGAAGATTAAAAAAATACAAATGTGCATCAAAAGGTTTGGTAGTTTCACTGACCCAAATTTATGAAAATTGAATACACTATGTGGCATGTGTTTAAAGACACAAATTGTACCTCATTGAAGCTGATAAAATTTGTATGCAAAACAGTAGGTTGAGATATAGTTTGAATCTACTACAAAAGCCACTTGGAGAGGGAAAGGGAGGGTGGGACTTCCCATTTGACTTTGGAAGAATCAAGGTTCAGAGACATGAAATGAATTGACTTAAGTCATGAATAATTATCTACAATGGTATTGTACTTGAACACATCACAGAGATATCAGACACATTAGCCTGTTTGAGACAGACTTTCCATGCTATGTGTTGAGAAGTCCTATTTGTTCCTCCTCATAGGTTTTTCTGCCTATTAAAATTTTTTTTATTCCTCAAGGTTCAGCGTGTATCCAAATTTAACCTGCTATCAGAAGAAATCTGCCTCCTCTTGAACATCAAATAGCATTTATACAAATCATCTATGACCCTTGTAGCCTGCTTCCTTCACTGCTATATTTTATTAAATAATAGGTTTTACTTCACTTGTGTAATGCTCATTTACATGGTCCTGTGTTATGGAAGGACATCATTATATAAGTATATTATGAACTTACTAAGTATTTTGAGTTTATTCCCCTTCCACCCCTCCATTTGTCTCCTTCATTGCCCTACAAAGTTTGCTTCTGTTTTTACATAATATATTTATGCATCATTTTATATACCTATATAAAAACCTAGGAGCCAAAAATGGAAAAAAACATGTGGTTGTTTGAATGAGAGAACTCTGGGCTCATATATTGGAATACTTAGTCCCTGCTTGGTGGAACTGTTTGAGAAAGATTAGAAACTGTGGACTTGTTGGGGTGGGTGTTGTCACTGCGAGTAGGCTAGGGTGTTTCAGAAGACTCAGGCCATTCCCAAACTCTCCCTCTCCCTGTCTTTCTCCCTTCTGCTCTCCCACACTCTCTGGTTGTGTCTCAAGACGTGAGTACTCAGTTACTGCTCTATCACCGTGGCTGCCTGCCTGCTGACATGCTCTCTGTCATGATGGTAATGGACTCTAACCCTCTGAAACTGGAAGCTCCAAATAAACACATTCTTCTATAAGTTGACTTGGCCATGGTATCTTATCACAACAACAGAAATTTAACTAAAATAACATGTGATATTAGTCTTCCTAAGACTGGCTTAATTTCCTTGATAGGACTATCTTGACATGTTTTCTACGATTATTCCATGTATGCTTTCCATGACACCTGTGGGAGATCAACAAACGAAATACTTAGATAGGCTTACCACAGTGTTTCCCTATAGAAGCTACTCAAAAAGTTCTCAATTTAAAATTTCCTTTTTCTTTTCATGAGTTGTCATTATCGGATGCATTCATTTATACATGATCAGGATTATTCTTTATTCCTTGTTAAAAATGTGATGCTACAAACATGGTATAATTTAAAAATGAACTAATGAAAAAAAACAAGATGGCATCCAACATCTTTGATTTTATTAATTGCTTTTCTTAAGTGTATGTATCTTATCTTTCCTTCCTCAGTTTCTCATCTTGAGAGTTGGTGTCTGTGTGTATCTTCTTGGATTTCTCACAGATACCCAGATGACAGGTTAACCACACCTTCCCATCCCAATTGATTATACAAATCAAATCAGTTGACTGTAGAATATTGAGCTATTATACGTCATATCTTTAAACATCTCCCAGCAGGCCTAGCCAAAGACAAGACAAGTGGTAGGAGCCACAATAAAAGTCTTGTGAATTGAATTCATTGACTTAATTCTAACTCAGCTGGCTTTCAAAATTTCATTATGCTCCCCATGTGCCTTCTTTTTGTGATTTTTTCCTGTTGTCACATTGAAAGGCAGTTTAGAATATTTGCAGCAGCTTATTGACTTTGGTTTTATTTCCTGATCAAATTGGAAGACATTGGACTATAAACTGTGCCGTAAATCTGATATTACTAGACTTTCTATTTAAAAAATTACATTATCTTCATGTTCTAAGTTGGGTAAATATGCCAATTATTTCTAGCCGTCTTCTGAGAGACTGTGATTATGTGTAATCAGAGGAGTTGCTTTAATATCTAATGAAAATCAAGAAAGATTGACTTTCCATTGTTTCTGTTTGGCCTAAGTGGGATAGAGTTTGGTGCATACTTCTTTAGGGAAATTGAATTGCACAGATTTTAGTCAGCTGTGTTTCTGAGGTGAATGAAGGGATGGTTGATGTTTATGTTGTCTCTGCTCCAGTTTTTATTGCATTTAAGAATGCAGCACCTGCTGCTGTCTGACATATAGTAGGTTCTCATTAAATGCTCATGGAGCAAACAAGACTGTAGTGATGAAAATTTTCATGTACACTTTCTGTTTACTACATTTAATTATTGCTGACTTATAAATTTAAAACAAATCTACAAGAAAAAGACTTTGAACATTTTCTAAGTTAGATTCATAAATTATTAGTTTCATAAAATTGATGGATGTCACTAAATAAAAACCATAAAGCACACAAATGAAACCATCTGGAAGAAATAAACAAGAGTATACTGTAAAAAATACAAATTAAAAAGTAACAGGGCTTCTTTTGGAGCTTTAATATATTAACCTACATCAGTACTTTTTATTTCACTAGTTTACTTCATCCCAATGATTAGTAAGGCTTTTGGTTTTGAGTGACAGACATCCAGTTAAAAAAGGGTTGGATTAAAAACAGAACTGGTCTGCTTTCGTAGCTGGTTGCCAAGGGCAGACTGGTGTATGGAAGGCATGGCTCTGTAGAGGTACTCAAATGGCTCATCAAAATCAAAATTTGTAGTCTAACATGGTGACATCAGTCAGCAACAATGTGCTTTTATTGAATGTAGATTTTTGTCTTCTAATCACAAAAATTGATACATATGTGAGGTGATGCATATGTAAATTAGCTCAATTACTGCTGGGGTCCGACCTGTATCAGTCCCATGTTACAGAGGCCAACTATTCTGGACTGATGTCTTTGTGACTGCGATTGGAACCAGCCAAAGAGCCCTGTGTCCGACCCTGAGTGGGGGAGTGTGGATCAGGAAGCCCTAGCTACTCAACAGTGTTAAGGACAAGACAGAGGCATCTTGTCAACTCCAGAGTACTCCCAGTCAGTATTGGAGACCACAGTTTGTTCAAGCATCCTCTTAAATAGCTTTCCAAAAGTGGGGGTGCTGGCAGAAGACATCTATTATTACGTATAGAGCTGATATCAAATATTTCCTTTAATCCTCAAGATAGTCCTTGAAGCTCCTGGAATTGAGCTTGAGGCCTGTATCCAAAATATCATATTCATATTTGGGGGCCTGACAAATTACACAACACATATTACAAAAGTACAGTTGTATACTATAAATACTGTTGACTCAAGAACAAATAAAAGTGAATCAGGAGAGCGTCGTTCCTGCTTTATAATCAAATAAATCTTCTGAGGAGGGCAAAGGATGACCACGGCAGCATCAGTCCTGTGTCCTCCCAGTTTCAACAACCACAGCTTCAGGGCATCTGCTCTTTCCTGATAATTCTAGAAAAATCACCCTTACATGTAAATGTCCTTAAAGAACATTCTAGCTCCTGTTCACAGCAGCTAGAATGGCACTTATTTGTACTTGGCACTCGGCAAACTGCAGCTCATTTACTTTCCATGAGCCCCACTCCTGAACAAACTGCTGTAAACAGGAGGGTGGAATACACCAAATAGCTACCCTGAACTGTGTCTCTCTCCATAGCTTCCAGGAAAGGAGATTAGATGCATCTGAACCCTAAGAACTGCCAGGAGAGGGAAGAAGTGGAGAGGAAGGAAGAAAGAAAAGAAAGGGGGTATAGTAGAAGGAAAGAAAGAAATTCAGTAGAGAAATTAGTACTGATACATTAACAGAAAGTTGCAGGTCTGGCCAGCTTCACAAAACCCGTGGTAGATTTTTTTTCTTATTTCACCTCTGATCTTTTGGATATCTAGGCAATGTGCAGATCATGTCTAGAAGTGGATTTTACCCAGCTTTAAGGCTAATAACGTATCCTGTTGTTTTGGGGATGCTGGCAGAAGTCATGCAACTCTTGTCAGAGACAGATGACTTTAATACTCATGACACAGCAGGCTGCATGACTGCCAGTATGTGTGTCACCTCCCCCTGTGACCTTGTCTATGTGATGTGTGTGGATGGATGCCTCTCATACAGGGGCTTGCTTCACACTGAAAGGAACTTGGGATGTTCACATCTTTTATAACTGGAACCAAAGTACTAAGCAGGTCTGCCCTTTGAGTATAGGAAGATGTTACCTTAGTTTTCAAGCTTGCCCAGTGCAATATAATTCTGGTAAAAGGCCTTGTGTAAAGGACAGTCATGGCTTTTCATTCCTGACACATCCAGCAGGAAATGTATAATAGCAGCATGAGAGATACATGGAGCACTCTGTCCTAATATTTATCTTGAAAAGGTTGCTTTAATGCCATTTATCCAGATGACAAGGCAGACAGAAAATGGAATTGGCAGAGCTTTGTAGCATTTCTAAGGCCACATAAATGATTGTCTACTCATAACAGGAACACATGTTCAAGCTCTAGAGTTCTGAATGTGGTAACTTGAGGACAATGGGTAAAAGGAAGTAACCTCTTTCCCTTCTATGATTGCAGAGCATAATTTCTTTTGTACGAGAAAGAAGAAATGAGATAACTTGGACTTTTGGGGAAAACATTCAGCTATGCTTTCTTTTAATACATTAATTTCCAATTATTAAAAAATTCTTAAAATCCCCTATGAAGAGTCTTTATGGAAATGAAGAGCCCAAAAGGTCTTCAGTGGGCCTTGTTCTAAATCTGGTCCTTCTGATTGTTTGGCAGTTTATCAAAAGCCACATTAATCCTCCTAAATAGTGCTTGATTGTTAAAAAAAAATAGCCCCTCGATCCAGGATTGCAGATTGCCCCACGCTTATTATTTTTCTTGACTTCCTGTATACAGGTCACACGATTACCAAGTGATCGTGTATCAACAAGAGGGTGTTTTATGCTGATAAATGGACTCCCACTGTCGCACATGGCCCCGGGAGTCTGCATTAACAACAAGCTGAGACAAAGAAGAGAACATGGCATTCATTTTAACAGTGGGCATTTATCATTGGTGACATTACCTGATACGGCTGATAATCTAAAGCATTACGACTTCTGAACAAAATCTGATTCATAAAGACATATAAGGAGATAAACCATGACAACTAATAGGAATTTCCTGGACTGCTGCAAATGGAATAATCTTATCTATATTCATCAGCTAGCCAGCTCTCTCCTCCCACTAAAAAGGAGACAAGGTACATTCACAACTCCTATTAGTGCTAATAGCGGCTTTAGAAGCAAATACCTTGTTCCTCCACAGGAAAGGACACCAGCCCGCCTTTGTTCCAATATCCTGCAATCTTGTGTCAGTTGGAGTTAATTGGTGGAAATCTGGGATACAAGCAATTTGGAACTAATCTCTAAAAATGATGGCCAGGGCAGCTGACAGTAGCAGTGACTGGCTCCAAAGCAGATAGGGTTTTCTTTGTTGGCCTGAAGCTCTGCCATCAACTTGTTTTCACTTCTTTCACCAGCCTCTCTGGACAAACTGCACAGGAAGGCTGTGGATAAGGAACAATCTCAGGGATTCATTCTTGCACGATACAATGGGCCTCTGAGACAGAAGAAGTAAATTTGGCCATTCATCTAGTTTGTGGAGGTTGGCAAGTAGTTTTGATATCTCTGCATCCTTACTTCGT